GTCAGACCTGCAGGTATCAGGCTGTGATGTTCTCCTTTATAGTGGACAGAAATTATTTTTTTGGAGTGGCACAAATAATTTGTGTGACATCTTATTGAAGAACAGCTGATTGTTCTGTAAATAGTTTGAAATGGTTATTAAAAAAGGGTAAAAGGTAAATGGCTGCAAAGAACTTTGTTGTTTGCAAAACTTGTGCATACAATTTATATTTGTATTTAAAGTTATGAAATATGATTCATTAAACATGTTTGTGGTTGTTACAGTAAAAAAATATAATAATAACTTTTTCTACTCGGATTTTATGTTTTTTGTGTGATTTTTAGATCAATTGTGTTAATACAGTATGTCAAAATGAAAAGATAACTGTAAATTCAGACACATGAGGTTGTGCTGAAAAGGATGATAATAAACAAGGCAAATAAATCTTTTTAAATGTGGAGGGAAAATCAAAAGTAGTGAAAAATGGCGAATTATACCCTGGACCCCAGATTTTTTTTTTTTTAAGTAACGCAATAGTTACTTTTCAAGTAATTAATTACTTTTAGAATCTTGTAACTCAGTTACTAACTCAGTTACTTTTCTTAAAGAAGTAACTAGTAACTATAATTAATTACTTTTTCAAAGTAACTGCCAAATAGTCACGGCACCTAACTGTAAACCCACAATTGTTAATCCCGTGTTTCAATGAAGGAGATGTTTAGTTTGGCTTTAGAGATACAGATAACTTTGACTCAGGTGGTGCTGAATAGAGGAACTAATTTGGGAACGCCAATGTCAGATTCATACAATTCAGTCCAAAAGTCTTGAGCCACCCTTCATTTCAGCCACTGGTGTTGGGGGTCTTGTCAAAGCTGATGGAAATACGAATACTCCACGTAATATCATTTGGAGACCAACCAGTAACTGTCACTGAGTTCAGCCCTCAGCCATGATGGGCTGATGGAGTATTGTATTGACTTTAAAGCTCATTAGAAGTGAAAAAGTCCTGTTTGCCCAATATACTGTGTTACTGAAGTGATTTATGTTTCAGTTAATCACTGCATGCATTTTTCATTTCTCTAGCAAAATATAAAGAAATGAGGGGCATCTCAAGACTTTTGCACAGTACTGTGTATACGAAACCCTGATTAAATTATATGGCTGAATAAAATGAATTAAATATGTCCTCCCAAAATGTTTTTTTTTTTTTGCCCCAACCGGTTTTTTTTCTGCACAGCGGCAAAACAAAGTAGTTGCTTAGCAACTCAGGAGCAGCAGTGTGAGTGGTGACTGGGTTAACTCATTATCATTTTAAATTAAGTGTTTTGCAGCAACAGGGTTTTTTTCTGGTTTTGAGTAGTGGCTCCCTGTTTGAAAGAGAATGGAATTCATTGTTTTCAAGAGGTCTTTGTGAATGTTCACGTGTGTGTTCAGGCATTTGTGAGAAACAAGCACGACAAATGACCACAAAATGATGAATTAGAGGTTCTACAGAATCTGACAGATATGGAAGCTGAATTTAGTTTTATAATACAGATATTAATTGGACATTCATGCATAGAATAATATGTCAGATGCATTTAAAATTGCATATAGAATTAAGTGAAATGCCCTGTTTTACTTTGGTGTGCAGTATATCTGATGATGCTAACCAAATGCGGATTTTGTTTTCAATTTAATTTTATATGAATCAAGGATTTAGCAATGTATAATAATATCCTACAGTCCAAAAACAGCTTTTTGATCTCATAGACTGAAAGACAATGTACTGTCAAGTCAGTCCACCGTGACATTGGACAAAATCTAAACAAATCGAGCCGTTAAAACGGAATTCCAAACATCAGAGGGTGTACAGGTGCAGTCATTAATACCATACACTAGGGCTGGGCGATATGACCCAATATTTTTAAAAAACTCTATATATCGCCCAGTCCTACCATACACTACAAATTATAATTGACTGTGAAGTTAATGACCTGTTCTTGAGGAGGAGGCTGCAATTGAAACAATCAAAAGCTGCTGATCCATCGACCTAGTCGAGCTAATTGAGACGAATGGAATAGATGAGACGATCTTGAATGGGACATGGTTTGTTTCCATCACCTGAAGCATTTTAAAGCATCTGCACCTGAGATGATGTCGTCTGGCCTGGCGTACAGTGGAGTGCAACTGGCTCCCGGGCAAAATCAATAATTGTTTTATTATGTTTTATGCTTGTTATCAGTATAGTCGAACATACATGTGGTTGTTACCCTGCCAGATTAAACTTTAACTTGTGGTTAAGCGATCTTCATATTGACTAGCTTGCGAGATGTCAGTGCTTTCATTCCCAAAAGCCGCTGGGTTTCCTTCCACACAACTCTGGGAAGAGTGTTTGTGTTTTCTCCCTCCGGTGAACAAGAGCTAACAATCACCACCCCATAAATCAGTGCCCACGCAGTGTCTACGCTCTCTTTGCTAAACTCACACAGTCTGCTGACCATACCCACCATCAGCACTCACACACAGACATGCAGCACTGTTTCTCTGTGCCCCTGCAGCCACTGTTGTTCACCCTTTGTCCTGTGATGAAAGTCTGTCTGGTGCATTTCATTCTGCGCTATTCCAGGGAAGCAGATTGTGTTTGTGTTTGTGTGGCAGCTTTGTGTTTGCTTCACTTCGTTTCCTCCAGCATGCAGCAGTCACCAGTTATGGACAATGAACTGCACAAGCACAGTTATCTGGTCAGACAGGTCAAGTATGCCTGTGTGAAAGAATTATTCAAACTGTTGCAGAAAGCCGCGCTTTATCAGAACAAACGTAGGCAGGGGAAAACAAGAGAAGTGACCTCAGCTCGTGTTTTTATGGCCTTTATGATGCTTAATGTGCGATTTAGGCTCAGTCTCGTTTGCATTTTAGTTTTTATCACTACGATCACAAAGCTGGTTGTTAAGGAGCAGTTACGCATTACGGTTTCTATCCATCGTTACCACCATAATACATACTTTGGACTAACGGTAAAAAAATGGAAAAGTGCTGCTGGTAAGAGGCAGATTAACTTCATGTGAAATTTCTTTGATTTAATGATTCATTTAAGGGGAAAAAAGCCAAAGTTGGCAAGCGATCTCTCTGATCACTGAT